CACACATGGAGTGTAGGATCCAGTTGTGGGCTCCTCAATGCAAGACCAACATGGAACTACAGGAGTGAGTCCAGCGAAGGGCCACAAAGTGATTACGGGACTCGAGCATCTTCTGCATGAAGAAAGACTGAGAGAGGTGGGAATATTCAGCCTGGAGAAGAGCAGGATCAGGGGGGATCTTGTCAATGTTTACAGATATCTGATGGTTGGGAATGAAGAAGAGAGAGATGGACTCTTTTCAGTTATATGAACAGGAGAAGAGGCAATGGATGCAGATTTAAATAAAAAAACCCAAAACAAAACACAAAACCAGGAAATTTCATTAACATAAGAAAACACTTTTTTACTGTGAAGGCAGTCAAACACTGGAACAGGTTGATTAGAGGAGTTGTGTAATCTCCATTCTTGGAGATATTCAGAAACTCAACTGGGTTTCCCAAAAACCTGGAGAAATCAAACGGTCCAGTGCAACCTGTTCTATCTGACCTGGCTTAAACACTAGATGATTTCCAGAGATGCCCTCCAACCTAAACTATTCTGTGATTTAGTTAGTAGTTACTGGTAACAATCTCCTGGACAGAGCTGGCAGTGCACGTTTGCTCACTCAGGGTGGGTCTCCTAGCAAATGTCTGAGGACATGAATAGGAAAGTGGATTTATGTCCAGAACAATGCTACCAAGCGCTCAGCCTGTCAGGCCTGCAGCACTTTTAGCCTCTTATGCTCAGTGCTGCTTGATAGCAACCCCAAAGCAGCCATTTATAGATGGTGCCACTCCAGGATGCTGAGGAAATAACATCTGTTTAGATTAAGCTTCAGCCACCATAGAGCCCAAGAACACCCTTCTTCACAGTTCACTCCATGGCTTGAGATACATTTGCAGAAACTTGTTTAGACAAAGAATGCAGCGCTGACTGATATTTCCTTTACACTACCTACTGGCACTCTGTAAGTGGCACCATAAAATAGCAAGATGGATGTTACAGTGAAGATGGAAGAGTTATAGGAATTAGGCTTAAAAATAATTAAACTGTGATTTCAGTGCTTTCCATGGAAGATTACCTGTACAGCAAGAAAAAGAATTGATCTCCAGACACATGCAGATTAACATCTGAGCAATGCTTTGTGGTATCTCTGCTCAAAATTCTGAATGCTAATTTGAAATACAGCATTCTACAGGTACAGTTATAAAGGGAAGTGGCTTAATGAGGAATAACAAGGTTGAATTGATGGACTGTTTTAGTCTGTACCGGATGAACACACAGAGAACTTTCAAGAGTTGCCATGCTGCAGGTGGCTTGTTTCGATTTAAAGTTAATTCCAGGTAATAAGATCCCAAAGAGTGTGACTTTTTCCTCAAGCAAAACTACCCCAGGGTGTCATTGATGCTTTGAGGGGGAAAAAAAAAAGCTATAAAAATGAGTAAAATGAGTACAATGCAAGCATCCTTGAATTCAACCATACAATATTTTAAATCAGTGTTTTCCCTTGCAGCTGGCTGTCAAATAAACTTTACTCCAATATTCAACACAGCGGCTGCATGTCATTCATAACTCAGGTCATTGCAGTAGAAAAAGAAAAGAGTGTGTTTTCACCCACAAGTCTTTGGAAGATTTAAGAGGAAAGATGTTTAATGTACTGAAAATAGCAACTATTTATAGGCTTCATCTGCATAGATGTACATGTTCACATTATATCCACCAAGCTGGAAGCATCTTAGTATAGCCCAATTAAAGATGTGCAATTTTGTTAAGCCAGAACAGAAATTTGTATACAAGTCAAACATGCTACCCTGAAGTGTGAAAGTCACCAAACTGTCTTCCCACAAACAACTCTGTATTGCATTATGTGGGTATGACAGACCTCTGAGATGGCCACAACTTTGTGGTGGATCTGCCTAAGCTTTTCTCATTACAAGTCCTCCAAAGTAAAGGCTTTTTAACTCAGAAGACAAGTCTTATTAGAATATGAAATGAGGGAAAACAATTAAATGGGAAAAAAAAAAAAACATGGAATCCATCAATTCTAAAGGCAATGAAATAAATAAAATTTATAACCATCTTGCTTGCACACTGGAGCAAGAGAGCTCCTTTCTTTTAGGTTTGTATTTTGTCCACTCAGCAGCTGGGTGGGAGAAAAATCTGCCTTGGCCTCCAGTTCCCAGAAAGGGTCCTCAGTGCTGAGGCTGTCATTCTCCCTGTTACCACGTTTTGTGGGTTACAGCTTTTCCTCTCCTGGGCATACTCAACATGGGAGTTCACCTGACCCCTTCCTTCTCTTACTCAGAGGAGTATGACCAACAAACATGCTACCACTGCACACCCAGCCTCCCCCAGGGAAGATAACAGAGGTCCATCCTCTTCCTTAATCCACAACTTTGCCACCACCACACAAACTGTGAAGTCCCAGAATTATACCCAAAATCTCACTGAACCCATGGCAGATGCAGGGGTCTAAAAGAAACCCGGGCCTCACACAAAATGTGACTATTGACCACCTTTCAGCTTTGAAATTTACTCTTTGAGATAACTGTATTAGCTACCAAACAAAGGCAATATAGAACATAGTTGTATTAATAAACATTTAGGATGTGAATAAGAGCATAACCTTATTTGTATGACTGAACTACTTCCATTTGAAAACTTAATTTAGACAACAGAATTTTTCCAAGGTGAAGTGTATCATCTCCTGCAGCTTCCTAAGTTTTCTTTCACAGAAAACAGTTCAGGCCTCAACTTCTGTAGCATGTGAAATCTTTTTGCTTTATAAACAGTGGTAGAAAAACAACCAGTCAGAAAACAAAAGCAGAAAAATCAGTGTTCTCATCAAGTATTTATTAGTAATACCTTTCTGAAAAAATTGATCCTAGTGGCTACCATTAGTACAAAAAGCCCAGTACTTAAAAATATGGACTAGTTAATCCTTAGTCATATGCTTTTTACAAATATTTTAATGTAAATTAAGATTTCTGTTGAAATAACCTAGTCACATTGATCATAACAATCTAGGTACATCCTTACAAAGACCTGGAACACCAAACATGTCTGTTCAGTTTCCCTAGATGTGGTGGTTTGAGCCTACTCAGCAGCTAAACGCCACGTAGTCGCTCACCCACCCTCCCCCCCACTTGGGAATGGGGAGGGAATCGGAGGGGCAAAGGGAGACTCATGGGCTGAGATAAAAACAGTTTAATAACGGTAACAGAACAATACGGTGACAGCATTATCAGCAGGTAATGTGCAATACAGCTGCTCACCACCCACCGACCCACACCCACCTGCTCCCAGCCAGTGATCCCAAACACAAAGGCACCACAGCCACACTCCCAGAAGTGAGAGCCCATGCTGGCCCACTCCTGCCTTTATATAGTGAGCATAATGTCATGACATGGACTATCGGCCAATCCGGGCCCAGCCCTCCAGCTGTGCTCCCCCCGCCCCCGCACACAGGTGAGGGCTCTGGGACCTGGGGAGCCCCTGGGGTCTCAGTGTGCTGCAGCACTCCTCCCGCTGCCAAACCAACAGGAACTCTATGCCAGCCCCAACCAGGACACCAGATTTCACAGAAAGTGTATTTCAGGCATCTAAATCCAAATACTTGCTTTAGGAACTGAAACATCAGGAATCCCTTTGTTATTAAATCAAGAAATTACTGGTTGTTTGCCCAGGGTAGAAATTTAACCTGAACATTATAGCTGAAGTTTGAAATAATATGCTTTATTAGGCTGAAAATTAGAGTTTAAAACTAAGATGTATTAGTTTTGAGAGACATTAGAAGTTAAAGAAGTTAGAGAATTAAAAATTTTACTAGATATTGCAAGGAGAAAATTTGGTTGCATTTGGTTGCTTTATAAAATTATGCTTTTTAGCTAAAAATTTAAATATTATTTGGGAATCAACTTTTCTGTTCCTCAACCTCTAACAGTATTTAAAAAAAATACGTATTCAACATAAAGAACAGATGAATATAAAGGAGAATCTTAGCATACTGTAACTAAAGCAGCATCTGAACTGTAAATGTACTTATTTTCAGTTCTGTATATCTACATCATCCTGTGTCAGTTAGCAATACTGATTATTAGTAGGCTGTTCCTGCAAAGTCCAAATATGTTATCTGCCCAAACCTTCCTTTGAAATTTATGTTATAATATTTTCTGTTCTACAGAGCACTTTTATTTCAAAGAAATCTCCCTCCACACTTTTCTGTGTTACACACACCTCAGTTGCTTAGCTTGAACACATATTAAATTTGTCAGTTTTCCAAAGGTGGTGATAAAAAGGTGATTCACATGTATAAGAGTCAAGCAGAGATGGAAATATTTTTAATGCAGCTTCTAGAACTTTCTTTGTCTGATGACTCCCTACGTAGTTTTCATTATCTCCTTCATGAAACGTTAACCTCCCTTTCCAAGATGAAACAGAAAGTAATAAAAATTCTCTTACTTCAGAAGAATAAATCCAGTGCAAGGCCAACTACTTTCTTAGAGACCAAATGCTACTTGCTTTAAATGGGAGCTTTATATCAGCATTTTATTGCATCTGCAACTTTATACTATGTCTCTCAGGATAACAGTTGAGCCCTTAGTGCAGGGCTTGTTGTGACCTACATGTTTTCAATCCTTCCAAGCCACCAGCTTTGTTCACACTAGACAAAGGAAACCTTTTTCAATCACAGGGTGCCCTTGACAAGCACTTATAACCTTTTTAAAAAAAATTTTGTATTCTGCTCATACAAAAGAAATAAGAACATGGCCAATTCAATTAGTTTTCAATTCCTGCCATAATGGCCATAGGTTATAGTTTGATAATCTTTACTTTTAGAAGGATTTAGGTGAGGATTTTAACATACTTCCAGAAATTAGGGTGTTCTACATTACTGAAATTCTGTGGGAGGATGAAACAAAAGCAGTCTCCCTCTCAGTGTCCCCTCTGCATGAACGTTGAGCAACTGTGCAAGAATACATGACGCATATTAGTGACATGGAAATAGTGTTCCCGCTTACTTGTCTTGGAGCCGGGTGCTGCGAGATGGGATCAGTTCTATTCACAAGGGCAGGCCAGGTTAAGTTCTGGTTAACATTGTTCTGTGGTCATTTCCATATGTGGTAGGCTTCAGAGAACAGAAAGCACATCTAAACGTGCTACCTAACATGAAAAGAAAGAATTAGGTAAACATTATGGACTTGCTGATCATTAGCCAGTGATAAAGACAAGGGAGAAGCAGTATGTTCTTAACACATAGATATTACCTTTTGTACTTGTTTCATTATAATAATGAAATGATATATTTTTTTTAATTTATGCCTTCTTTTTCAGTCATAAATATGACACCATTGATCCTAACATTCCTTCACAATCCCTCTCTCACATTACTTCCATCACTGAACTTCATCTGTTTTGACTTTTTCTTTTCCTAATATGAAAACATTGTAGAGTTTTGCTGCTTTTTATGACAGAGGGTATATATGTGTTACCTGTGTGAATATTATTAGTACGCACTTCCTCTATTGCAAGGTTTCCCCATTTGCCTTGTTGGGTCTATTATGCCATGAGTTCTACTGAAAACTTCAGAGGGAGGAGGAAATTGTACATCGAGCTGAGAGAGAACGGAGTGGCACAGGCAGAGAAGCTGCGGCAGGAATGAAGACTGGGACACTTTTGAAACAGTTGCAAGCACACCAAAAGCAAAAATTCACATCTTCTTCTATTTCAAACAAAGTGCCATCTCCATCTCTCTGTCAGGTGGACTATCCTTTCCTCTTTGACAAATTCTCTGGGCTTGGGTTTCTTTGTTTTTCCCTCATGCCCATACCTCCCATCTCCGAAAAGTCCACAAACATTGCTGCACATTGTGAAAGATTTGTCCCTCCTTCATGTCAAATTGGTCAGCACCACTTAAGCCTTGCTGTCACTTTTATTCTCTATCCTATTGAAGCTATGGATATAGCCTTTGTTTTGCAGAGAAAAAACAATGAAAACTCCCCAAATTTCAGCTTATGTCTTGTTTATAAAAAGTGAAGTTTCTGGAAAATACTTAGAGAGATCAATATTTTATTTTTTTTTCCCCAACTACTGAAATGGATATTGTACTGAAATGGATTTGTAATCTCTGATGTCCCAGATTTTCACTCCAACTTTGGCAGGTTGCTTTCTGCTGTAAGGCAGAGGTAAGATTGAAACCTGCAATAGTAATCAGCTGTTTATGAAGAGAAGAAGCATAAAGGAAACTGAGGCAATAAGAACTGGGTTCAATTAATCTTAGTTGGTCAGCTAGTCCATTCTAGGGCAGCAGCATGTCTGGCAGACTTTTGTGTAAACTGCTGTTAGAGACCTTGAGTGACAGGACCTCTGCAGCCTTTCAGGGGAATGGGTCCCTGTGCTTCACCTTTAGAGGAACCCACTCAGCCCAGTGCCTAACCCACTTGCCTCGATGTGGACAATGCCCTTTGCTTCTTGCCTGATCCAAAGTGAATGGAAAGGAGGCTGGTCTTTACCTCTTTGCAGCAGCCTTTCTGTATTTTATACTTCTTTCAGTCATCTCCTGTTTTAGTCAGAAATACCCCAGACTGAACAATGAAAGGTGCTAACTGATGCTAGGCAGAATTAAAAGTTGACTTTACATTCCTTGGGGCTCTATTCACGTGCGAAAAAAGAAACAAAACCAAGCCAAAACACTTTCTTCTAACTGTTTTCCTTTCCTTGAACACATAGTTGTATAAATATTCATGATTATACATTTTATATTATATTTATAATAGTAATTTTCAAAGATGTTTATTATATTAATACTTGAAAGATGGTTTCAAGTTTGTCTCTTAAAGAGAACTAAACTTGCATGTTTTGCCTTACCATCATAAAAGTGAGGTTGTTTACAGGTAAGTAGCATAATCAGGCGTGGAAGTCAATACACTAAGATCCATTGAAACTCAGGTTTTTTTCTCAGAAATATTGATCTACTACATTATTTAGATTTATTTGCCTAAAATAAACTAAAAGAATCAAAGTATAAGAGGGAACTGAGTCAAGGATTGATTTAAGTTATTTGGAGAAAGGACCATCCCTTGTAACATTTGCAAAAAGTCTCTAGCATGAAAGAAATCCTTCTTCAGATCTTACAGCAACAAAAATAAAAATCTACCACCAGGAAAGTGTTGTATTACTCCTTTGAAAGTTGGAGATTGCTTGAAATCATTCATCCTCCTGAGGAACCTAAATCCCAGAGGCTGTTGAGAAAGTAGTTTGTAAATCCTATGAAGTTTGGTACTTTCAACTTCAGACAAGAGGTTTCATTCTAAGAAATATAGTTCTGCAAATCCTTTTGGTATCTATATTTGCTGTTGTTTATTTCTTTCCTCTGACTAGAAATAGCATTCCAATGTCTGCTGTGGAATTGCAGGTTGGACTGCTTGAGACACAAAGATCAGCATGTATCACATCTGGATTAATGTGGCACTGTTTGTAGAGAAAATTGGAGCTAAGTACCTACTGGATCACAGCATAATGATTTCAGGCAGCTGAGCTTTAGCTAGAGCAACAAGGTAGATGTGTTTTTATAGTCTGCTCTGGAGCCTGCATCCCATGAGATTCCAAGTGCTTTCAAGACTCTGAAAAGTCAACAGAAATTCAAAGCATTTTGTAACTGATGTGATGTATTGAGAACATCACAGAGAAAAGCCCAGGAAGAAACATCCATAAATAAGGTCATAATTTGTAAAGAAGGAGAGAAATACAGTTCAATTAATATAGGCATCACAGAGGCTAATGATGCACCCTAATTATCTTCTCTGACAAAATCTTACATGTCTGATTAGAATCAGGATGAAAGAACTTAAACCTGTTTTACTAAAAAATAGTTAGTTGTTAGTATAATGACATGAGTGTGTACAAATAAAAGAAATAATAAAAAAAAAAAAAACAAGGCCAGAATTAATATGCTGTATATGCTCTAGGTACAGTTCAGGATTACAAGGAGTCAGATTTTCTGTGGGGACAGAGTCATTCTACACACTTTGTGGGGTATGTAGAAGGTAAAACACAACCCAAACCCGTGTTTGTTTGGCTTCTGAGTTCAGATTACCAACTTTCCAAAACTCATAGAATAGGATTAGCACTAAACTCAATTCTCATTAACATTTCTATGTGCAATCAATTCCCAACTATATTTTTTTCACTAAGATAATCATTTTATTAGCTGTCACGTTAGAGAGACAGATGCCATAATTTGTTTAGTTGTAGAGTTTGCAAAAAAAAAAAAGAAGTTATGAAGAGACTTGACTACTCTGAACCTAGCTTTCTTCATGGGCAGTGGCAATCACCTTGAACTCACTTAAATAAGAAGTAGGATCTTCATTTTAGATTAGCCAGTAACTTGTTAATGAGGCCATTTAAATACACAACATTGTGATTAGAGGTCCTGGTGGTATCAGACAGGGTCAAGATTTACATGGAGGTATCTAAAATCTGACTGATGTTTTAACACAATGTCATTAGCTGTGATCAGTGAATTGTCTACCTACCATGTGCTACCCATCATCCTACTCTTGATCACCACCTTTCTTTGGTGCTTCTCTCCCTGGCTCCTAGGAGAACTGTTGAAGATGCCATCAGTTTGATGAACAGTAGACATTTAACTCATTGCCTATGAAGAGTATGAGCACTTGGAATAGGGACTACATGTTCTGAGCTAAACAGAAAGAGCCTATATTGCACAAAGTAAATTAGAACAAACTTTAGACAGAAGATGCAATCATGAGACAGCAGAGGAGTCAAGACATCACATTTGTTAAAGTAATTCCTGCAAAGAACTGGAATCTTTTTGAAGTGTCATCAGTTTTCACAGGTTTAGTGCAACCCCACCTTCCCACTCTGGCCATAACTTTACACTGAAATGACAATGAAACAGGAAAAACACTTAAAAAAATTAAGTTTTAAATAAAACTAAGAATTCTTCACTTCATTCTAAGCTTTTAAGAATTTACTGCTTTCCCTACTCTGTTTATTTTTACAGATGAACTGCCTCCTCTCCCTTAAATATCTGCACTCCATTTTTGCTTGAAAGCTAGCAGGGGAATTTTCTGATGGTGGCAAAAACAAGACCAAGGAGACACAGGTTTTCTCTATCCTCTTATAATCTCTCCATACCTCTCTGCTTCATGAAGAGCATGTGTTCCAGAGACCCCTAAGTTCTGCAAATAAGGACTTTTACACAAGCAACTCTACAGCTGCTGAGACACATACTTGTGCCATTTCCCCTCATTTCTTCAGTGTCCAGAACAAGAGTGGTGTCAGTCCTTCAGTGATCTTTGCATAACAGCTCTGCATTCCCCATACCTCTGGTCCTATAGCTGTGAGAGTGTGAAGTGCCCTAAGAAGGGCAAGACAGAAGAGTTGTGTAGGCATTTCTGGCAAACTTTGAAAGAGAAACCATGCCTCAGTAAGTTACACAGACATCCTGTTAACCAGTAACACCTTAGTACCATGGTATACATACTAGATGATACTGCTAATATGTAACTTTTATGCATACATATACAAAAATATATACAGGCTGAAACACAGTCCCATCATGAATTCATTTCCTTGCATTTAAAGAGACAGTATTAATATACAGTGGTCAGGAGAGGAAAATAAAGAAGAGAGCTTGAAACTGGAGAAGGAGCAAAAGCATGAGAGAAGAGAAGAGAATAGAATGGTAGCAGAAAAAGGGCAGAAAAAAAGTGATGAAGGGGAAGAACATGGGGGAGAAAGGTGAAGGGGGACATAAAAGCTATCAAGGAAAAATGATGAAATAAGATACCCAGATGATCACAAGACTACAGAGATGAAAACAAAACACAAACAAACAAGTCTTATCCATATGTGAAAGAACAGCCAAAGCTTGATTCAGAGAGCAAATTCAGAGAGAGTACAGTCCACAAGAAACTCCTGAACACCACTGAAGGTGGGATGTGCTACCTAGTAAGGATAGGTAATCCATAATCTGCCATGTGTTTTTATTTCTCAAAAAAAAAAAAAAAAAAAAGTCATAAAACATCCCAGAAAATGTTTCTTCTGAGATGCAACACCCTGAATAACACAGAACCAAAAACATTCAAAAAAGGTGACACTTGAAATAAAACCTCCCATGGGTGGGTGTCTATCTGAGA